TCCAGCATCTGCAGTTCCTACTATCTCTGATACAATTTTAACCCCACTGCGAAGCCTCTTCTAAGGATGCCTAGTCTGAAGAAGTTACCCTCTTCCCTCCGGACAAACCCCAGGGGATCTCTCTCCCACTGCAACTCTTCGTAGAGGGTCTAGGCCCGAAACGTCAGTCTTCCTGCTCCTATGATGCTGCTTGGCCTGCTGTGTTCATCCAGCTCTACGCCTTGTTATCTCTATTTATAGACATCCTGGCTCACATGTACTGGTGTTATTTTATTAAAGTAAAGCCTCCCTATTAAAATCGAGATGAGGAGCACTTCTTTTCTCAGAGATATGTGGAATTCTCTTCCTCAAAGAACAGCAGAGGTAAGGTAATTGAGCGTTTTTGGTGGTTTGATAGATCTTTATTTACAAAGTTAGGGTTAGACAGGAAACTAAAGCCGAGACCGCAATTAGAACAGTCAGAAGTTTATCAAATGTCAGAGCAAGTTTGAAAAGCTGAATTACTTATTCCTTCTCCCAATCCGTATGGTTGGAATTATTTTGTTCCTAGTCCCTGCAACATGTTTCTCTCTTAACAAGAAAAGAAGTTTGGATATGTTTGTAAATCATTTCACAAATACAATTCTGTAAAATATTTTATTTCAGCTTTAAGTGAAATTGAAAGCAATTGTTCAAGCTCAAAGTGAGATTGAGATATTCAGTGATAGCAAGAACTGCAGATGCTGCAGTCAGAGACAACACAGTGTGAAGTTGGATGAACACAGCAGGCCTTCTTCAGAAAAGGGTCCCGACCCGAAACGTCAACTTTTCTGCTCTTCTGATGTTGCCTGGCCTGCTGTGTTCCTCCAGCTCCACACTGTATTGTCTTTGAGATATTCAGTATTCTGTATGTGAATTGTGAATTGAGGTGGTAAGGAATTGAAGTACAGCAAAGAGTGAGGAATCTGGAGAAATTAAAACCAGGACTGAGCAGAATGTGTTATTTTTAATGGGAACATTAGCTCAGGAAAATGAATGATCAGCCTAGTTTTAAAGCAAGGTGGTTAACTGCCAAACAAAATAGACTTTGGTTCCATAACACAACGTGCATATATATTAATTTTTTTAAAAGAAATCTTTTTTCCCCAGGGCAATACTTGAAGGGTAAAGATATGCGGAGTGAATGAGAAAAAGCAGGGGTATCATGGAACTAAATGAATAAATCTTTCTAGAAGTGGCATAGATATGATGGGTCAAGTAGCCTTCTGTTCTGTAAGATTCTAGTAATTCACGAACAACTCTTCATAAACCCTACGAACAGAGCAAGAAAATGAGTGTATCAATGTGACAAAGTGCAATCAAACTATTTTTTCATTTACACATCAGTTTATTAACAGGATCATTTACCTCAAACGTTTTTATGCATTTAATTTAATCTGCCTACTTCAAAGACACAGCACAGTGACAACTCTGCAACAATGTGCAGGAAAATGGTTACAAGTCCACACTGGAAGTATGTGTCAGATATATGACAATAAAGCACTTGGCTGCTCTTAAGCGTTTCACCGGTTCAGTTCATCACACTTGCCCCACTACCAAAGGGAGATTGGCTCAGCTGAAGCTGCTCTTCGTCAAACAGGAATGCACCAGATCAAGTGGCTAAGTTACACCGTTTATAAAATATTCATTTAACCAAAAGATGCGAAGTCCACGGGATTCCAAAAGTTGTGGTTTATATCCAAAGTTTTCTTTATAACCCAACTTGTTTTAAGTGAGGAGGGAGGCGAGGGGAAGAAAGAAAAATCACATGAACAAGTCATCATAGCCAGGAGGAGGAAGATGATCCGGATCAGGGCTGAAAAAAAGAAACATTTCATAAACATTCAGAAATCAAACATTAAGCACAGACACTTATGCTTCCCACCAAACCACACAAGTTATGTTTAAGGTTGCTATCCCACTACGATTGCTGAGTCAGGAGAGAGAGCTATTTCACCTGCTGGAGTAGATGGACATGTGAAGAAGCCTCCAGGAATACTACACCATCAGAAATGGCATGCCTAGAACCGCAACTGAGTGAGTTCACTTCCAGAGGGAAAGCATTGGGGTGAAGTTGAAAAGATAACAACAGAGTTCTTTGAGGAGGCAACAAGCAGGAGATAAATGGGAAGCAATAGATATAAAATATTTAGATTTTCAGTAGGCATTTAGTAAGGTAACTAACATTAGGTACTTAATAAGACAAGAGCCCATGGTGTTGAAGGTGGTATATTCGGACGGATAGGGGATTGGCTAACTAAAGGAAGACAGAGTTGAAATACGGTACATTTTCAGGATGGCAACCAGCAACAATTGGACAACCACAGGATCAGTGCTGGGGCCACAATTATTTACAACAGACGTTAATAACTGGATGAGGAAAATGAATGCACTGTGGTCAAGTTTGTGGATGACAGAAAAATAGATTGGAAGGCAATAGTGAGAATGGCACAAACTGTCTACAGACGGATATAGTCAGGTTAAGTGAGTGGCCAAAAAACTGGCAGATGGAATGTAATGTGGGGAAACGAGAGGTTATGCACTTTGTCACAAAGAATAGAGGAACTGAATATTGTTTTATTGGAGAAAGACTGCTGGAAGCTGCAGAATAGGGGGATTTGGGAGTCCTCATCCATGAATCACAAAAAGCAAGCAACCAAGTACAGCAGGTAATAAGGATGACAAATGGAATGTTGGCCTTTATTTCAAAGGGAATGAAATATAGCAGTTGGGAGGGTTTACTAAAATTCTCTGTAACATTAGTTAGACCACAGCTGGAACACTGTGAACAGTTTTGGGTCTCTTATCTGTCTCCCACTGGTATTGGAGGCAGTCCAAAGAAGGTTCATTAGGCTCATAACCAGGTATGGAGGGACTATCATATAAGGCGAGGTTCAGTAGATTGTGTCTATATCCACTGGAACGTAGAAGAATGAGCAGCGATTTTAATGAGACATCCACGAGTCTTACAGGACTTGACAAGGTAAATGTGGAAATAATACTGTTTCCCCTTGCGGGAGAGTCTACGACAACAGGGCATAATCTCAGAATATGGGGTCGTACATTTAAAACAGAGATGAGGGGATTTTCTTTCTCTCAAAGGCTGGTGAATCTGCGGAATTCTTTACCACAGAGGGCTGTGGAGGCTGGGTCATTGCATACATTCAAGGTTGAGGCAGACAAGATTTTTAATTAGCAAGAGAATCAAAGATTATGGGGATAAAACAGGAAAGTGAAGGTGAGGATTAGCAGATCAGCCATGATCTTACTGAAAAGCAGAACAGACTTGATAAGCTGAAAGGCCTGCTTCTTCTCCTATGTCTTACGGTCTTAAGGTCATATCCAATGAAAGCCACAGCAAAGGACTAAGCTTTCAGTTTGACTACAGTGACTAACTTCTATGTTGAGCTGCACACACAGCATGAACAGCAGCAGGCAACAAAGGAACTTCTGTCAACATATGGCAAAATAGCTGGGAATTTACAAGGCTGCATCAAAAGACTGAGCCACGTAGAAAACACGACAAAAATTTCCATTCTGATTGCTGCTAAAACTCTATACTATATATGTGCACAATGACAGCATCCAGATTGAGAAATGTGACTGTTATGGAAATTAGACAGTGTGAACAGGAACATTGGCACCTGATGTTTAAAGTTTTCACCCATAATGCTCATTACTCCACTCCTTTAAGAAGTTTTAGCTCATTTACAGTGAATGACTCAATGGTTTCAATTAATAAAGTGAAAAACGCATGATGCACTCAGCCCAATAATGTTAAGCCAAATTTTTAACTCAACAGATATTGGTGACTAGTGGGTCTCATATAAAAACACTTCGTGCATTCTGCAGACTTTTTTTTTTAGAAGGGAAAACACACTTCTTGCCTGGAGAGGTGCAACTCCAATAGTATTCAGGAACCTCTACAGCATCCAGGGCAAGGCAGTCCTGCTAGATGGTACCCTAGCCACGATCTTCAACATTCACTCTTTTCACTTCAGTGGCAGCAGTGTGCAAAGTCTGCAAGAGTCACTTCAAAAACTCATCAAGGTATTTTGACATCATCTTCCAAACCTCCAACCTTTGCCACCTAGAAGGACAGGGCAGCAGATACACAGGAGCACTACCACCTGCAAGTTCCCCTCCAAGCCCCACACCACACTGACTTAGAAATATATCACCATTCCTTCATGTCATTAGATCAAAATCCTCAAACTCCCTCTCTCACAGCACTGAGTGTGTGTACACCACAAGGATTACATCAGTTCAAAAAGGCAGCTCACCACTACATTTCCAAGAGCAGTTAGAGATGGGCAATAAACTCTGACCCAGACAGTGATGCTTACGTCCCATGAATGAAGAAAATAGCTTTGGATTCTCAAAATGATTTCATTATTCTATTAAGTGATTGATAGGTAACCAATGCAGCAGCTACACCTACAGAGCCTGTTTAATGGCAGAGTGACAGTGCTAGACAACAGTGAGATAGAACTTTCGTACAATCTCTGAGGACACCATGTTCGACTTCATAATGGTTTACTAATGTCCTTAAGGGAGGGAAACTGCCATCCTCATCTGGTCTGGCCTACATGTAACTCCAGTCCCACAGCAATGTGGTTGTCTTTTAACTGCCCTCTGGGCATCTAGGGATGGGCAATAAATGCTGGCCTAGCCAGCAACGCCCACATCTAATTCTGAACGAATAAAACAGAACTGAAACAGGACTCAGACTTGGGCAAGACTGGTGCTAAATACTCCTGTAAACATGGGTTTCATGCAAGATAGGGAAGTAAAGAAAGAAAGAAGGATAGCAGTATTAATTAAAGTGAATTCTACAGTGCTGGAGAGCAAGGATGTCCCAAGGAATCAAGGACAGAATCTATCGGATTAGAGGTTAAAAAAACACAGTAAAAGCACTGTAAGGTACCAATAAAATATATTGGCCAATAGGCTTCTATCATGTGGGAAAGATACAGAGGGATGCATTTGCAAGGCAATTACAGAATTGTACAAAACAGATTTAATGAGAGTAGACGTATGGCTGATGTTTTGTTGTCCTAACATGAACTTGGAAAGTAATAGTGTAAAGGGCAGAGAGAGGGAAATGTTTCTGAAATGGGTTTAGGAGAATCTCTAGATCAATAAGTTTCTGAAAAGAGGCATAACCTTTTCTGAATCAAGTATCAGAAGGGAACATTTAGGGAACAGTAATCAGAGCATCTTAAGAGTTAGAAAAGGACAAGACACATTCCAGCATAAATATAATTAAATGGATGCGCATCAACTTCAATGCAGTGAGGATAGATCTCTTCAAGGCTAAGTTCAATCAAAGATTGGCAGGCACAACTGTAACTGATCAAAGGGGTGCCTTTACAGAGGAGATAGTTTGGACATAGCTGTGGAAACTTGAAAGGGAAAGGTGGAACAAACAAACAAACAAAGCCAGAACTTCCTAGATGATGAAAAAGATAGGGAACAAGGTGAAGCAGCAAAAGGGCACAGATGATAAGAATCAAGATGAATAGAGAAAGTTCCAAGGGAAAGTATGAAAAAAAGACAAGCAATGAGCAAGTATGGGAAGAGACCGGCAGCTAACATAAAAGGGAATCCTCGGCCTTCTAAAGGTAAATAAATAATAAAACAGTAGTAAAAATAAAAGTGGGACTAATTAATGACCAGGCGGCACGATGGCTCAGTGGATAGTACTGCTGCCTCACAGCACCAGGGACCATGGTTCGATTCCAGTCTCTGGTGACTGTCTGTGTGGAAATCGCACATTCTGCCTGGGTCTGCGTGGGTTTCCTCTGGGTGCTCTGGTTTCCTCCCACAGTCCAAAGATATGCAGGTTAGGTGAATTAGCCATGGGGAATGTGGGGTTACAGGAATAGAGTAAGGGGGTGGGTCTGGGTGGAGTGCTCTTTGGAGCATCGATGTGGACTCGATGGGCTGAACGCTCTGCTTCCACAGTGTAGAGATTCTATGAAAAGTGATTTACGCATGTAAGCAGAGAATATTGCTCCATAGCCACCTCCAGTGCTGCAGCTAATTTCCGATTCTGTGGAATGCTAAGTACAAATCAAAATTTATTTTGCATTTCTTACCACCCTAGGATCCTTACGAGCACCTTTCCCTCTATGCTCCAACTTCCTCATATTGCTCTTTGCTATAATGTTGCTCCTACCTAATTCTGTCACTCCAGTCTGTCACACTCTCTTTGTTTTAGTTACTATATACTTTCTTCAATTTTTGTTGCTCCCTTAGCCCTGTAATCTTGGTTGTGTCTTCTTCACTTCTTCGGCTCTATCTTTTCACCACTTTCTCTTGTGTCTCTTCTCCACCTCAAGCTTCTCTCCCATTGTCTCTTTTCCACTTGCATCATCTGTCCCTCTAACTCTCGTCCATTTCACCATCTCTCGCCTCCACTTTTTTCGGGTCTCTCCACCACCACTTGTCACACACTCTCTCACCTGACTTGACCCCTCCCCGCCAACCAAAACTCAATTGCACACTCTCTTCCATCCCTGACCTGAATATTCCTGCTATGCTCTCCTGCACTATGGAAATACGCAGTGATGCAATTAGAGACAATATTCTTTCAAAGTCATGCTCTTTTTGAAGAAAACACTGAAGTGTACATGGTAATATTGCTGGGAGCAATGGAGCTTTGGAGATCAAAACATTTATTCCAGAGTGAAGCATGTCAAGTTAGAAATAATTGTGCCTACATTGCGCTTCCACAAATACAATGACACATTTCACTTGCAAAAATTCCTGAGAATTTCTATTAATATGAAAAAGTTCATACTTACCCAGAACGACTGGGACCAACTGGTCCAAATGGGTCAAATCTGGCTCCAGGTGGGACTGAACCAGGAGGAAGCTGTCCTGGTATTCCCGATGATGGGTCAAAGCCAGAACGTGGTAATCCTGACCTTAAAGGATCAACAATCATTCCACCTCTCCGTTCACTAGTAAATAAAAGAAAAAAAAGACACTTCAGCCCGGGGTATGAAAATCAACAAGTCAAAATCCAACAGGGACTCAATGCAAAAAATGAAGGTCTCAGATCTTCAGTCTGAGAATGGACAATGATCCATTCATTCAGGGCTAGATTTCAACTTTAAACTCAGACTCTTCAGTTTTTCAAAGCTTATTGCGAATGAGAAGAGAGTGCTGTCTGGTTGGCAAGTAAACAGGGATTGGTAGAGGTGTGGCCATGGAGAATGAATCAGTTAAAGCTTTATGGTAACAGAAACATAAACATAGAAGACAGGAGCAGGAGTAGGCCATTCAACCCCTCCAGCCTGCTCCGCCATTCATTGAGCTCAATGACCTAATCCCACTCTCCCCCATATTTCTTGATTCCTTCAGCCACAAGAGCTATATTTACCTCCTTCTTGAAAACACAATGTTTTGACTTCAACCACTTTCTGTGGTAGTGAATTTCACAGGCTCACCACTCTCTGGGTGAAGACATTTCTCCTCATCTCAGTCCTAAGGGGTTACCTCTTACTCTTAAACTATGGCCCCTGGCTCTGGACGTATCCACCATTAGGAACATCCATCCTGCATCTAATCTGTCTAGTTCTGTTAGAATGTTATAGGTTGCTGTGAGGTTTCCCTTCATTCTTCTTAATTCCAACGAATACAATCCTTACTGACTCAATCTCTCCTCATACGACAATTCTACCATCCGAAGAATCCATCTGGCAAACCTTTGCTGTACTCCCTGTATAGCAAGAACATCCTTCCTAGATAGAGACCAAAAATGCACACAATATTCTCGGTACGGCCTCACCAATGCCCTGTATAATTGCAGCAAGACATCCTCGGCTCTGTACTCAAATCCTCTCATAATGAAGGCCTTCTTTATACATTTGCCTTCTTTAGTATCTGCTACACCACTCACTTACGTTCAGCGACTGGTGCACAAATATGCCCAAGTCTTGCTGAACATTCCCTCTCTCAATTTACAGCAACTCAAATAATAATCTCCCTCCTATTTTTGCTACCAAAGTGTAACCTCACATTTAGCCACATTAAGCTGCATCTGCCATGCATTTGCCAATCACTCAGCCTGTCCAAATCATACTTCAACATCTCTGCATCTGCTTCATACAACATCTTTCCACCCAGCTTAAGTTTTAAACATGCAGGTTGACTCTAATTGATCAAGACATTGCCCTTAGATGTGAACCAGAGAATAGCTGTCAGCTATTTTGTACTGTTGAAACAAATAGAGTGCGTGTATGATCAGAATCCCTTTGGTAATCAATCAGCACTCTCCTCTCATACACAATAAACATTGCTTTCCCTTGACTTTGGTATTGCAAACTGTTCTGATGAGTGCAAGCTGAAAGCTTCAACAAAATACATCCTTTTTCAGCATTATTCATGTTCCAAAGTTCTAAATGACTAAATGCCTTTATATAGAGTGCTGCACTGTCAGAGGTGGTCTTATGTATGAGATGTTAAACCAAGCCCTGGTCTGCCCTCTTAGGTAGATGTAATAGATCCCTTGGAATGATTTTGCAGAACAGCAAGGGTATTCTGACCAATACTTATTTTTTGTTGAAAACCTAAAAGTAGATTATTTGGTAATTTTTATTTTCTTTATTGATTCATGAGACGGCAGCATCATTGGCAGGGCCAACAATGTGGTGCCCATCCCTAATTGTCCTTAAATTGCAAGGTTTAGTTCATAGTTTGTTTGTTTGGCTATTTCAGAGAATAATTAAGAGTCGGCCACATTTATAGAGGTTTGGGGTTATATGTCAGCTAGACCAAGTAAGGATAGCAGATTTCATTCCCTGAAGAATATTAGCGAACCACATAGGCTTTTATAGCAATCGATAACCATTACAGGGTCACCAATACTGAAATGAGCTGTTAATTGTAGATTTTATTAATTGTTTTAAATTCCACCAGCAGCTGCTGCTGCTTTGGTCGAATTTGAACACTTGGCCCAAGAACATTAGCTTGTAACTGTTCGATTAGTTCAGTGGAAATACCACAATCCCTTTGTCTCCTTGTTAATCTTCCTGTTATAGGTGGTGGCTTGCTATACATAACTGCTGCATTCAAACATTATGATAGTAACTACATTTCAAAAAGTTGCTTCACTCTTTGTAAATTGGAACATTCCGAGACTGTGAAATGCAGGGTTGGAGAGATTTTTGATCTATTAAAAGAGAGCTGAGTGTCACAGATTGAAATGCAGTTCCCTTTGAAGGTCAACCAAAACAACCCCAAAGCTGATGGTCATTGGACTTTTAATAGCTGGGTTCAGGCTCTTGTGACACAGTGGCAGTGTCCCTTTCTCTGAGCCTAAGTTCAAGTCTTATCTGTTCCAGAGGTGTGTAATCTCTGAACAGGGTGATTAGAAAATATCAGAGGTGGGCTCTTAATTTGAGGGTAGTAAAATAAAACAGTCAGCGGTGTGTAACAGCATTGCTGGATAAAAGGCAAAAAAGGAAGAACTGGGTTCCTGGTCAAAGCATCCCTGTAACACTGTATCAGTTTGACTCTAGTGAATTATGATTATGCGCAGAATTCTCTGAATAAAATTTTTGTATTTAAAAAACAGGAGCTGGGCTCTTAGGAGTCATATGACATAGTGGTAGTGCTCCTCCCTCTGAACCAGAAGACCTGCTCCAAATGTGTTTCATTACATTTCAGAATAGACTGATCAAAAAAAAGACAAATACTGTGAACGCTGTGCAGTGGTTTTATCAAACTCCTCTGAAGTCTTGAATATCAGCTTTGTGTCCCATACCTCAGAAAGAACACACTGGCCTAGGAGAAGCATGAAGATGTTGGGGATAAAATATGTCAATGTACCGACTCATGAACCTCTTCAAAATAAAAGTATTGGTTTCTTGTGTAATAGCATTTCTGAACAGAAAAAAGAAAAAAAGAAAGAGTTGGTTCTTAGGGTGGTACTGTCACTACCTCTGGGACAGAAAGTCCAAGTTCAAGTCTCGCTGCCCTGGAGGTGTGGCACAACATATCTGAACAGATTGGCTAAAATAACAAAGATCCTTGAAGCTGCCTGAAATCTCCTACTTTCCAGTTGCTGATACACTGAGAAATGTGAAACGTGGTGTAATCTTATACACAAAACTGTTAACAATGCGAACAGCTGATGCAGACCGCAGGCAACTTCAGCCAGCTGTTCGGCCTGACAACAATGAAGGCTTCAGGCTGATTCAATCCGATTGAAACTACCCAAAGATCTGATGTTGATTGGAATCAGCAGAGCTTCTAAATAAATAAGTACATGATAACCTTATTGAACCGAAAAAGTGTTGGGTTCTTAGGATTCTTGTGGTGCGGTATCAGTATCCCCACTGGGACAGCAGGTCCAAGTTCAAGTCCAACTTACCCCAGATGTGTTATAACATGCCTGGACAGGTTGATTAGAAAAGTATCTACTGGCATTTCTTTGTAAAAGAGGGATTATCTTGGTGCAGTGGTAGTACCCCTAACTCTACGACAAGAGGCCCAGGTTCAAGTCCCATCTGCTCCAGACAGGTTGGATTCTAGACAGGGAAAAGCTCCAGAAGGAAAGGTGGAAACTGGCATTTGCATTAAATGATGGATTTACAATTAACAATTGTAAATCACTGAAAGTACCTAATTCAACATATGCCTATCAGAAACATTAGTGCTATGGAGGTGGCAGGGAAGTGCAGTTACAATAATCAGATTACCCAAGAGACTCTGCCTGCCACCTCAGCTGGATATAGTAAGCTGAATGGCCAATTCATGCTCCAATCTTTTATAATCTTATGAGAAATGCATACTTTTTTCCTTTGATATGGGCTATCACTGTTTACGATCCAGGAACTAACAATGCTGGTTGGGAACTGGTCGATCCATGCTTTTGCTGATTTCTGCATTTTCTGTTACAATCTCAAGGGAATTAAAGCATGAGTGTGTTAAAACCATTACAAAACTGGTAACAAGGGGATTGGAGCTGTGAACTAAATATTCAAGGGTATGTGACCTTTTGGAAGGGTGATGGGGTAAATTTGTCAGGACAAAATGGAATAAGTATCTTAGTGAGAAATGATCTTGGATCAGACATGCAGGATCCATATAGGTGCAGGTAAGAAACAACAAAGGCGAAGATACTAGTGGGAGTAGTGTATAGGCCCCTAACAATAGCTGTTTTGTGGTTCACAGAGGAAATAAGGAGATAATAAGGACATATAAAAAAAGGCAGGACATTAATCACGAGTGACTTGAACCTTCATACAGATTGGAAAAAGCAAATTGGCAGAGATAGCCATGAGGAAGAATTTATGGAGTGAATCAAAATAGTTTCGAGAACAATATGTTGTGGATCCAGCCTGGCATCAGGCTATTTTGAATCTGGTAATGGATAAGGAGGCAGGTTTAATAAGTTATCTCAGGCTCAAGGATCCCCTGGGGAACAGTGAGGATAACACGGTAGAATTTAGCATTCAGTTTGAACGCAAGAAACTTGGTTTGGAAACACTGTACTAAAACTGAAGTAATTACATGGGACTGAGGTCAGAATTGGCTGCAGTGGACTGGAAAATGTGTATAGCAGAAAGGTTGAAGAACATGGGCAGATATTTAAGAAAATAATTCATGCCTCACAACAAAGATATATCCTAGGGAGGAAGGAGAACTCTAGGAAGGGGATAAATCAATCATGGCTAACTAGGAAAGTTATGGATAACATCTCATTGAAAGACAAAACACAATTTGGCAAAGCTTAAAAGTAAATCAGAAGATTGGGAATTTTTAAAAGCCAAGAAAAGATGACCAGAAATAATAAAATTGGAGAAAGTAAACTATGAGGGATTAAGTTTGAGGTGGTAATAGGCTGGTTAGATAAAGGGGAACCAGAAAATGTAACATATTTAAATTTCCAAAAGGCATTCTATAAGGTACCACACATGGAACTACTTAACAAAATAAGAGCCCACTGTGTTGTGCGTATTTATTTATGTGGAGAGAGGATTGGCAAACTAATAGAAGGCAGAAAGCTGGGGTTACAAAAAGGGCATTTTCAGGAGGGCAACCTGAAATTA